TAAAATGTGTTGCACAAATTCGAACATGTGCGTTTTGCTGTTCTGTTGTAAATAAATCTTTACCAATGATTCCTAATTGCATCTACTTCCGGAAGTCCAAATAAAGTGCTTTTGCTTTCGCTTAGAAACACACAGCGTCTCCCTGACATGGCTGCTTCAACACTAACTGCGGTTACTGAAACCACGCCTTCTTTCTTTGCGTGCACATTTGGGCGGCATTATGCTAATATTTCCACATAGTGAGGTAGATATGTGGGGGCGTGTTAGAACGAGCCGTTTTAGGGGGGCGTGGCAGAGTCTTAACTTTGATAAAAAATATCTCTTTGGTTTTGAGACTTTAGTCTTTGCAACTTCAGGGATCTTATCTATGCACAATCAGCTTGTAGCACTCCAAAGAGAAAGGAAAACTTGAAATCGCATCATATGACCCCTTTAACTTGTTAACTTAGACAGTCCTAGTCAAACCTTGTGACAAAAAAAAAAACAATTACAGTAAGATTCTTAGACATTCTGTAATTCATGTTAAATTTTAATTCAAAATTTCACTCATTGTTACTCTGGCAATATCATTTGAAGGCATGTTTATATATGTCTTTTTGTATACTGGTTTGTCTCTCATTGCTCTTGCTCTTTAAATGTAGGCCAGCTGTAAAGCAAGTTAGAAATGTCACACTATTTTATATAAAGTACTTTTCTTATTTCTGTCTTTTTAGCAAGTACAACCCTCCACTTTTAGAGGACAAAGTTACCAAACTGAAGGTGACTATGGTGGCCTGGGATTGCAATGACAACACAGTCATTACCGCTGCGAACAACTTGACATTGAAAGTGTGGAACTCGTACACAGGGAACCTTATTCATGTATTGATGGTAAGAGTGCAAAGATCTCTCCACAATGACTGAAAGGAGGCAATATGTGATGAATAATGTTGTCGTTATGGCCTTCACCCACAGGGCCATGAGGATGAGGTGTTTGTGTTGGAGCCACATCCATTTGATTCCAGAGTGCTTTTCTCTGCTGGGCACGATGGAAATGCCATCGTCTGGGATTTGGCAAGAGGAGTCAAAATACGCTCTTACTTTAACATGGTAAACTAAATGGCTACACTATATTTCTTTAATCAGATTGCATCACATGCTTGACTAAAACAAATCTATGCAAATCTATTGATTTATTGGTGTTTATTGTGTTTCACAAACATCCTTTCTCTACGTGTGTGTGTGTGTGTGTGTGTGTGTAGATCGAGGGTCAGGGCCACGGTGCGGTCTTTGACTGTAAGTGCTCTCCAGATGGGCAGCACTTCGCTTGCACGGACTCCCACGGTCACCTGCTCATCTTTGGCTTCGGCTCTAGCAGCAGATATGACAAGGTACTGAATTCCAATGTCTGTCTTAGATGCTATGTTCCGAATGAAATATTAGCATACTATTTGCTGCATTTTGCTCTCTTTATAATGAATAGTATATTGTCACATGACCTCATCACATTGCATGTTTGATTCAGTGATTTCATTTTAATTCTAGTTTAAGTTTTAGTAATTTCGTTATGTGCTTTTGCCATTTTTATGAGCTTTTTAATATTTCTATTGAGCTTTAATTCAGCTTTATAATTAATTTTTTTTTTGTTTTTGTAATATTTATATTTTCTTTTCTTTCAGCTTTATTTCAAATACTAAAAATTCTAAGATTTTAATAGTTTTCATTTTAGTTAACAATTGCAACAGATAAGCCGATAACTTACCAAAAACTGATAAATAGACAGCGTTGATATTTTATATTTCGTTGGAATACATAAAAAAATTAAACACTGACAAATAAAAATAATTGTTTTAAATGCTTCAAGTAAATTTAGGCATCACAACATTATAATATACAGTATAAAAATGGATGTTCATTGTGACATTTGTTAAAGATTATATTTAATAGTGTTATTAATTTATTGTTTTTAAAGATTTTTTTAAGTGAGTGTTAAATGACAGAAATGGTTATCTAAATATAAAAAATGGGGAAATGAGCATGCACAAATAAATATTCAGTACTGGCAGATATCAATATTTGTATACATTTCTAATATCAGTCAATAACTGATATGATACTAATATGTAGTGCATCCATAGCAGAAGTAATAAGAATAATAAGGTTCTGTGTTCTGAACAGTCTGAAACCCCGTTTGTCTTACTCAGCTAGTATATGTGTATTTGTTGTGAATGAATCTATTGATCTGTTCTCTAGATAGCAGATCAGATGTTCTTCCACACTGATTATCGGCCGCTTATCCGTGATGCCCATAACTTTGTGCTGGACGAACAGACCCAGCAGGCACCTCACCTCATGCCGCCACCATTCCTGGTGGATGTGGACGGGAATCCTCACCCTCCACGCTACCAGAGACTGGTTCCTGGCAGAGAGAACTGCAGAGAGGAACAGCTCATACCCCAGATGGGGCTCACGTCATCAGGTAAGAAACGCAGACAGACAGTGTCTCTTTTGGTCCCTTTCTGTGTTTTTATTACTTAAAGTAATTATTGGCCATTTGTGTATGCAAACATACACCTGCAAGCTGTCACTGAACACTAATAAAGTGTTCAAATGTCTCTGTGTTTGTTTCTTATTTCTTCACTCAGGGCTGAATCAGGTGGTTAGTCAGCAGGCTGCAGAAGGCTCTAGTCCTCTTGATGGTATGATCCAGAGACTACAGCAAGAGCAGGACCAGAGACTGGGGTCTGACACCAGAGCCAGCAGAGGTAATGCACACTTTTTTTTGGTAGTGTAGTGAAACAATACTAAAATGTTTGATACCAATCAATAAAGAAATTTCATGATTCTTGATACCAATTTATTTTTAACATTTATTAAATTACTTATATAATTAAAAGTACTTTATACTATAATTATACATTTTAACTATTTAATAATTAAAAAATTATGACAAAACAATTGTGTTACAAATTATACTCATATTATTTATATATTATATGCCTTTTTTTTTTTTTTTTTTTAGTTTTTCACCTATTATTTATATTTTATTTTAAGCTTTATTTCAGTTTCAATTTTTATTTCATTTTAGTTTTAGTTAACAATAACACTAAATACGACTAAATAAAATGGCAAAAAGCACTTGACTTTTTTAAGCCATATCAATTATTCAAGTAAATTAAAAAAAATACCAAAAATGTTTAAATGTTGAATAAAAATTGTTGCATTATATTACAAAAACAAAACAAAAACAATAAAACAAGCTAATTTAAAAAAAAAAGAAAAAAAGACAATGACACATGCATTCAGCAGTCTACAGTTAAAACAACTGAAGAGCCAGACAATGTAATTTGTCTGTATTTTTCAATTGTTTTCCAAAGCGACTTTACAACGAATAGTTCCTTACAAACCCCCAGTGAGCCAGCCAAAGTTATCACTTCTGTAAAGTATAAAAATGTCATCAGATGATCTCTATAAACCAGTGGGGGGTGATTGTAATACTGTTAACAGTAGTGTTGATGCTGGTTGCGTGTCTGGTTTGTGTGTGTAGGATCTGTCAGTTCTCCCACAGAGGTCTCTTCTCCACCTAACGTGGGTCTGAGACGCAGTGGACAGATCGAAGGTGTTCGCCAGATGCACAGTAACGCTCCACGCAGTGAGATTGCCACCGAGAGAGACCTGGTGGCATGGAGTCGAAGGGTCCTCGTTCCTGAACTATCACCAGCTATAGCTTGGTAAAACACGCATTCAAATACAGTGGACTTCAAAAGTCTGAGAATGCATTTCAAATCTGGCTTTCAAATGTTATTTTAATCCTTGAAAAAAGCAGAAAATATTAAAAAATTTAAACAAAAACACCTTATGATCTAAAATGTCAAAACATTTGTATATCTGTTGTATTTCATATTTTGATAGACACCTTCAACTCAAACAAGACCTTCTCGTGTCTTCTTTCTATTGTTTCTTACAGTTGAATGCAGTTTGTCTCTTTTGTGTGTCTGTTTGTGAATACAGTAAGCAGGAGATTTGGCGTGCAGCTAAAGGAGAAGAGGAAATCAACATCTACAAGTCAGAAAGGAGGAGACGCAGCGTGCACAGCCAGTACCACAGAGAAAACCGGGTAAATTATCATATATGATCAGCAATTTAAAATATATACAAATCTGGATAAACTTGTCTGCCTCACTGATTGATTGGGATGAAATGTACTGTTTGTGTGCAGCATCATTCACCACCAAATTTTTACATCCAACTAAATGTTGCTAAAGCCTTAGTTGCTGTTTAACATGCAAATTAATGTGTGTATTTCTCATACCAGCATGCTATAGAAAGTTCTGTGGAGGAGGGGCGCCGTCACCAGGGTAACCAGCATAACTACCATACACGATTGGCCGTGGAGGAAACGAGTCGTCAAAGTGAACCCAACGAGGAAGAACACAGTGCTTCTGAGGTACTGTCAAAAGATGTCCCTTTAGGGAAAAGTAAAGTCAGTGTAACTGCCCATTTAATGAACTTACACTACCATTCAAAAGTTTTTGGTTGGAAAGATTATTACAATTTAAAATAACTGTTTTCTATTTGAAAATAATTTAAAATGTAGTTTATTCCTGTGATGGCAAAGCTGATGAATATGAAGTTCCAAAAAACAGCATTATGAAAGTCTTTATTGTCAATTTAGATTTATTTAATGCATCCTTGCTGAATAAAAGACATCTTACACAGTGTCCTAACTACACGCGACGTGACAAGATTCTAGTGACAAGAAATTTGGTTGTCCACACCAGACGCGACACAACACCACGACGCGACAGAATCAATCAAATATCACCTTGTATTCGAATTTTAGGTGTGCGTTAAGGAGGCAGCCTTATCAGTGGCGCACGAGATGCGATGACGATCTAAGTGTCATTGCAGTTTTATGTTTTTGTTAACCTATCCAGTTGAAGCCACTAGATGCGGCGCTGCTGCATTGTTAATTACAAATATTGCGGGAAAAGAGAACAACAATGCGGAGAAGATCTTGTTTACGTCAAAACTGAAACCAAGCCGTTCACACAGAACGCATAATTTTGCACATTTTCTAGAGGGACATCTATCACCGTTGCACTCGTCTCGCACAAAAGAGCCGCATGTTTAGAAAGCCATGTAAAATTAATGAAAGTTCAACTTTGAAAAAACATATCT